TTTCATGACTTTGGCTGCATTTTTTCCTTGGGTTTTGCAGTTTTTTTGTTATTTCCATAAGATCACGGATTAAATGACTACTTTTTCAAAAATTCATAATAAATTAACCATGCTCCCCAGCAGTCTGAAACTTTGCACACGCCTTTTCCATTATTTAAAGAATACGTAAAAAAAAAGAAAAAAATGGCTGCTTTTTTTCTATTCCTCCGGGCTCGCCCGATTATCCTTAACTTAATACAGGGCATTATGATATTTTCTATTGCGTTAGTTTCGTAATAGCATTCTCCCATGACAAAATCATTGCATTTATAGAAAACAAAAGTCTATTTATTTGAAGCAATCATTCGAGAACTTGATAGAGAACCTGCGAAGATACAAATTGAGTTTAAGTACATGGAAATCCTGTAAAAAGTTTGACTTGAAAAAAAAATTGTAAGAGAACTCTCGCTAATATTCTTTAATGGAAATTTTTTATCGTCACTGAATGCTAATTTAATCGTTCATTTACAATTGTATTATATTCAAGAAACCTTTAGTGAAGTCTAATAATTCTACGTGTGTCACGTTTGAAATCGAACAGTGGAATTTATAGAAAACCAATTTTATTGCAAGGATTTAGTACCAATTTTATGGTCCAGCTTAGATATTCTTTTAATCAATGAAATTTTTTAAAAATTCTACTCCAGACTCTTTCTTATTGAACCACTTGTCACATCTTTTTGTTATTTTTCTCCCTTAAGGCGTCCTATTTTGGTCAAGTTGATGTTGCTCTACCAGGCTGTGAATCCTATTTCATGCACATGCACCAAGAAGAACACGATCACGCATTGAAGTTATTACATTACATAAAAACTCGTGGTGGGCGTATCGATCTCTGCGCAATCAATCCCCCGGACAAACAGAACTGGCAGAACCCTCAACATGCATTTCAAGTACAGGCGTATACTGGCGAATTTCTTGTCTTCGGGTCCCATATAACATTTACTAGGGGAGGGTGGGTCAATACAGGCAGCAGATTTAAATGATCAGTTGAATTGGATCAAATCTACGGTTCGGACTTCATTTGAAATTTATAAAAATAAGCATATTGTCATAACGCTGCGTCGTAGGAGTTGTAAAGTAAAGCAAAAACAGGGTAAAATGGACATTTCGATTCCTTCGTCAATTGTTTGGGTTTCAATAATGTCATTCAATTTCTCAAACTCTAGTCATGACTGCGATTTTCATATTGAAAAAAAAAATCATTTTTGACATTTATCGTGAGGGGTGGTTTTATAGTGATTTCCTTTGTAAGTAGAAAATTAGCCATCTTACAAATTTCGCAAATGAACAAAAGGTCAGTTGTTTAGGGCGTGCAATTGTTCATTGAAAAAAAAAAAATTATTTCAAAGTATTTTTAATAGTAAAACAGGAAATCCAAAGCTACTCAATATTTCAAACGTCAATGCAAAATTTAATAGAAATGAAGTTTATTTGTTCATACTCTCTATAAAAAGATACCGACATAATTCCGTTGAAAAATTTCTGGATTAAAAGTTGAATAGGACCAACTTTTTCGGGTATTCATTTTACCCCACTGTTGAATAATTTTTCGCTTGTGGATTTTGCCTAAAAGCAATTTTTTAAAATTCAATTATTGAAAATTTTTTGAATGCCCATTTTAGTCCATCCTATACGAATTTATCAAGTGTCCATATTGCTCAATGAAACAATTATCAAAAATTTCAATTTGGAAAAAAAATTTTTTTTCGCAAATTTTTTGAGTGTCCATTTTACCCCAGATGTCCCTATTGTCCCACCCACCCCTATATGAAAAATAGTGGGGGAATGGGTATCGAAGACTACAATCTCTCCAATACTACAATGAAATGAAACATTGCATTAACAATTACCAAAAGGACATTACCTGTTATGATCCTTCCAGACAGCACTAGATCTGGAGATATCAGTCACAGATGATCTTGTCGCTATCAACGGTATTGCTGAAAAATACGGCGATCTAGATGTCAGTGATTTTATCATCACCAACTTCATCGACGATCAAATGAAAAGTATTAGCGAAATGGCGAGATTTGTAACCGTTCTCTCTGGCATTGACGATAACGCCATCGGTCAATTTATTTTTGACAGAGATTTATTAAAACATTATATCCCACGAAACTTTAATGTTCTACGAAAATCGTGATACCCCAAAAAACAATCATCACAGAAATAAAAAAATTGAATTCTTATAATCATTATTTTTACTCATGGGTCTAGGTTTATCGGGGCCGAATACCTCCAGCAATCATCGACTGAAAAAAAACTGATAGGGGCAAACTTCTAGAGATTAACATGTGGGAAAAAAGCACTGACAAATCGACATTGATTTCCTGGGATAAAAACTGAGTAAACATATCCCAATAAAAAAGATTCATGAGTGAAAACTGTCATGGCGACCTCCCACTTGCCAGATGGGAAATCCCACAGGTCCCCACTCCTTCCTTAGTACCACTGCACAGCCTTTAGGGCGCAGAACGTCTGGGGCTCCGTTTGAATCGTTTGAATTCGATCCGCAACGACGGTATGACGATACTCCGGTTACTTTGATGACTGTTGTGAAGGAGTTAGTGTTTAAAATGACGTAAATGAGTAAATGAATGATTAAATTTCCTAGAGGTTGAATATTGTAATGTTCAAATTCTTCCGGGATCACGAGGAGATAGTGTAACTTCACAAATGGCTCAAACGGACGGTCGATTTCACGAGGGTCAAACGGCACGAGGTTCACAAGGGCCATGAGGGGAAAAATCAAATTTCACCAGGTTCGAAGGGCGTGAGGGCTCATGAGGGAATCGAGGGCTACAAGGGGAAAATCAAATTTCACTAGGGTCAAACGTCGTGAGTGCTCACGAAGGCCACGAAGGGAACAAGGAGCACAAGGATCACAAGGGTTACGAAAGGAAAATTAGATTTTGCAATGATCCAACTGTCACGAGAACAGTGGTATCAATTATTGAGCGTTATTGAACTTTCTACGTTTATTATTTGGGGCCCTGAAAAGGGCCGGCCGGCTCTGAAAAGAACCATTTATGGAGTTTTGAAGAATCTAAAGAGGGCTAAAAAAACATTATGGATTAGTCAAAAGTTTCTTGATATTCTACAGAATCCTGGAAAGAACTGATACGTGAAGCAGCACAGAAAATGTGATTAAGATAAAACTCGACTAAACTTTTATTTCTCACAGTATATAACTATAAGGGCTTCGAATAGTTGACGTTGGAAAGGGGAAGAGTTATTGAAATTATCAGTCAACGCGCACTGTCAAGGCTAAGGGGTTGTGATGAAGCAAGTGAATGCGACGAGGCTGAGAATGAATTCTAGTATTTTATGACTTTTGTTTAGGATACAAATTTTCTAAGTTTTTTTACTTGCATTGTGTAATGCAAAAAGAAACCGAATGGGGCGGTGATCAGCGATAATCAGGCGGTAATCATTTAACAGAAAAATCCAAATCTAAAAATTCTAACAAAAATTCAAAATCTATTGAATTCGGCCGGTTGAATATCGAATAGAATCAGCGCGAAATGCAAATAGAATTTTTCAGTAAAATTCCAATAGAAATATTATAGAAACCCTATAGAGTTCCAATTGAATTTCTTCATACATGGGACACGTTCCTCAGAAACTTCAGAAAGACTTCAGTCCGAGGTAGTCCTTCAGCCTATGCACATATTGCACATCCTGTAGGACTTGAAAGGTCCCCGAGGTAACTTAGGTGATATCTATGTTTTTGGGTGCGCTGATTCCGAATTTGTCGGGTACTTTTTGAAAATACTGTCAGTTCTATTGTTTATAAACAATTTAATTGTTTATAACGCATTATCTCGGGAACTATGGCAGATAGAGAAAAACTTCCAAATGATAAAAGGTTGCTCTAGTCATTTACAATCATTCTCCTCTTTTGCAAAATTTCGATAAAATGACTAATTAAAAAGTTATATGCGATCGAAGTGTTGCGCGACCGACGAGAGGCCGCTGACGGGTCGAGCGTTGAGGCTTTGACTCTTCCATGCGCTCTCATCCAAATTTTCTCTCTGGTCTCGATTTTTCACGATTTTCTTTTCGCGGAAATAATACAGGCCACATTTTCCACGAATTTGTGTGTAGATAACGTAAACTGCCTGGGTATTTTCGAAAAATAAAAGCCTCTCCGAGTCAGTTCTCTCGTGTCATTCGTACGCGAAAGTCCGTGGATTACATCGAGTGGATGTTGCACTGAAATAAGAGTGAAGAATTGATCTGAATTGAGTCTTCACTGACATTATGGAGGGTCAAGGAGTGTGTTTACGAGTTCCTGAGGAATTGAAGATTAATTTATGTGTGATTTGTCAGAAGGGAGGGGACGTGTCAACTGGGGAGACAGGACGTCAACGTATACGTGATGCTGCAAAAACTTGATCCTCTCCATTTTGGCTATCATCGAAAACCGAATCTACTTCTAGTCCCCAAGAAAATTATCGATCTCTATCCCCCAATGTCTCAATTGGTTCCTAACTGTCGTTGTACTAAATGCACAAGAATCTCTTGCCGATGTTTTAGTGATGGTTTACCATGTATCAGATTCTGTCGATGTGTGATCGCAGGAACATGCCAGAATATTGAGAATAAAGACATTTGATTATTAAAAATTGAGTTTTTCGATCTTAAAATTTCATTATTCTATTTTATTACGATAATATTCCAATGAATTTACACGAATTGGTTGATTTTCCGTTAGATAATCAAACGAGGTCACCAGAAAACGAAGCGGTACACCTTCAAGATGCGCGCTCTTATGACAGAGCGCGCGCTCCACAGTCAGGTCGGTCGCGCAACACTTCAATCGCATATAACTCTTTAATTACTCATTTTATCGAAATTTTGCAAAAAAAAAGAATGATTGTAAATGACTAGAGCAACCTTTTGTCATTTGAAAGTTTTTCTCCATCTGCCATAGTTCCCGAGATAATGCGTTATAGACAATTAAATTGTTTATAAACAATAGAACCGACAATATTTTTAAAAAGTACCCGATAAATTCGGAATCAGCGCACCCAAATACATAGATATCACCTAAGTTACCTCGGGGACCTTTCAAGTCCTACAGGATGTGCAATTGTGCATAGGCTGAAGGACTAAGGTGCTTTTATGTATGTAGTGAATGAAAAATGCAAAATTCTGACACTCTGAGTGATGAACATTTGGCAAATATTGGGCTGTAACAAAAGCGCTCCGGTGCAGTGGTAAAGGATAAATTACCTTTTTTTTAAAGCACAATATTAAATTTTCTTTTTTTTTTTATAGTTAATCAATCGCGTATAACAAATCGCAAAAAGTTGGTAAAAATCCAAAATATACTGTTTTTTTTTCAATTAAAATGCTAAAGATACATATTAAACTCGAGAGTCACTGAGTGGCCATAAGTTTAAAGGAAGAAAATAATGTCAATATTTTTTTTCAGACTAGTTTTTAAGTTGTAAATTTTGTAAATTATGTATATAGAAGTACTTAATAAAAAACTTGGTTAAACAAAAAAAAAGTGGTAAAGGATGGACGCTTGAGTGCTGACGATCCAGGTTCGATTCCCGGCGAGTTCTTTTTTTTCTTTTTTTTTCATTTTTGTTTATATCAATTATTATATTGCATGCTTGACCCAAGCGGTCTTTGATTTTCCTCTCGTGGCCCTCGTCAGCCTGATGACAGTTGACTCTTAGGAAATTCATTTTTTCCCTCCTGACCTTCATGAGCCTCCTGTAAGATTTCATTTGGCCCTTGCGACCCTGGTGAGCCTCGTGGAATTTAATTTTCCTCGTGTGAACCTCGTTCCTTTCGTGGCCCTCGTTTATTTCGTGAGCCCCGTGGCCCTCGTTTCTTTCGTGAGCCTCGTCACGTATGAAAAAATCGTATAGAAAGTTTCTATACGATTTGCGTATAGAATTTCTATAGGTTTTTCGTATATGATATTCGGATATTTCTATACAAAAATTCCCTATACGGATTATTTCTATACGAATTCGTGTAAAAATTCGTATAGAAATGAACCGTATAGGAAATTTTCGTATAGAAATATCCAAATATCATATACGAAAAACCTATAGAAATGCTATACACAGTCCGTATAGAAAGATTCTATACGATTTTTTCCTACGTGGTGGCCCTCGTTTTGTTCGGGAGCCTCGTGGCCCTCGTTTCTTTCGTGAGCCTTATGGCCCTCGTTTCTTTAGTGAACCTCGTGGCCCTCAAGACAATTTTTTTTCTGGCAGCCCTCATGAGCCCCTCGACGTTTAACCCTCGTGAAATTTAACTTTCCCCTAACTTCAACCCTCCTCCCTCTCAGCATTCCCTTAGGCCCTTGTTTGTCACATATTCAGTCTTACCTTCTGTTCTGACTTTCAGGCCTAAACCTCGCGATCCTTCATTTTGACCCTTATTCCTGAGTGTATGTTTTACCTGTATGCAATTCCGTATTTAACGGTAATTCATACCTTCGATTAATGAAATTTGTTTTTTTTTTTTGGAAATTTAGAAAATCGTGAAATAATTAATCATGTTAATTTTTTATTAACTATTGATCACATAATTATGTATGTTTGGACATATATAATCGGTTATGCAAATAATCGTTGATCTTTCCAGCTCGACTATTGATTGATGAATAATTCGGAATTTGAATACTGGATGATTGGTAAAATAATTCAAATTTTTATAAGTTTGATTAATTGAAAATTTCAGAAATTAAGGCTACTTGAAATTTATGGCTATGGCGATGTCTGATTTTCAGGCTTCAATCTCTTTTTTGAGATTTCCAACACAATTTTCCGGTTTTACCTTTGCTTCTTTAATCAATTATGTCAATCGAATTGTTTTTCAATCAATCATGGCAAATCAATTATTAAAAGAACATGTTAAGCTTGTACATTTTCGATGGATATAAAGAAATCAGCTACAAGGAAGACAGATAATTAATAAGTAATTATTAAGTAGAATGGTGCACTAATATAATCAATACTGCACTCGTGTGATAAATATAGCATTAGTGCATCACTATTCTTTATTTATAATTATTTTTGTTTTGCATTATATTTATTTTCTCCCTATTCAAACGATTTTCCGGAATTTAATTTGCTGGGTTATAGCCACAGGCTTTGCGCTTCTCCAGTAGTGGGGACCTGGGGAGTGCGCGAGAGAACTGCGCATGAAATTCCCACGCGTGGCATTTTTCCCCTCATCTGGCATCACAGAGTTACCGAAATAGCGGTCGGCCAGACCAAAGAGGATTGACTAAAGTAGAGGCTCAGATCTCGGGGTTAGACTGACCCCAAGCCAAAAGTAGTTCGACCCCAACG